TTGTGTTGGGAAGGTGAGCATCATAGAATGCCACTAAATTCAACTTTTAATAGTAAAATAGCACTAAAGTTTAGACAGTAAAAGGAATGAGATTGTGAGGATCTTTTTATTTTTTACAAAGACTAGACATCAGGAACTCCTTGGATGGCACTCAGCTACTAGCTGAAATGTTGGCGGTTCAAGGTCACCCAGAGGCATCTCAGAAGAAGGCCTGGCAATGTATCTCTGAAAGGTCACAGTTTTAAAAGAACCAGGAAGCCGTGCTACTCTGCATTTATGGGGTTGGCATGAGTTGAAACCAACCTGGCTACAACTAACAACTACAAAAAGAAGTCAAGGCTGTTGTAATTTCTAATCTCACCAATTCAGTATGATTCTGAGAAACTCCTTTAACTATTCCGAGCCTTTTTTTCCCTTTTGTGAACTGGGGATAGTAATATTGCTTTATTTACTTGATACGGTTCCCAAAAGAAAATGATGAAATAAGACTGAAAACTATAAAGCTTTACACTCATGTCAGACATGACTTAACCACAGTACCTCGATCTTTTTTGCCATGATACCAGAAGAACTTGATGGTGCCCAGCTATCATGACTGAACATTTTCGGTCAAATATTTTATAGAAGAATTCTAATAAAAAGGGGGAAAAATACAGATCATAATTTCAAATTCTAATGGACCTTCTAGAGCCACTGAGGCTGGATGAGCCCTTCAAACTATGGCCTTAAAATAATCTTTAAACCAGAAACCAAGAATAACCACCGAAGTCTTCTTATACCAAACAGTAGTTTAATTTACCTAGTATAAATGTCCACTTTGAGCATTGTGCTTTTTTAAGATCCATTTATATGGAACCAAATTGATAATAGCCAGGAGGTAGAAAATTTCAGGAGCAGTTGAGTGTATCCTAATGGGGGAAGGACAAGTTGAAAAAAGAGTGACAACTCGGAATGGTTGCACACGAGAAGAAAGTAACCAATGTGACTGAATTGTTGGTCTATAAAGAGGCTTCAAATAATTCATGGAAAGGTTCCATTATCCCTAAATTCTCTTTCCCCCCCAATGTTTGGAAGCTCTGCTGTGTACATTCTCAACAACAACAATAAAATGAATAAACAATTATTTAAAAAATAACAGAAAATTTTGGCTTTGGAAGGGTCAGAATTCTTTCTAAATGACATTACTGCTCTGTTAATTTCTAGTTTAAACTATTTTAACTCAGTTATATTTCCTTAAGTGTAGATGCTTGATTTGTTCCATATTTTTGTTAATTGTGGAAAAACAAAATACCTACACTTCTGCTATATTTACTCCATGAGCCTTATTCTTACTAACTTGTTAACTCTTATTTAGAAAGCTTGCCATCTTAGCTCTTTGCTAACCTGAATAAAGAGAGACAGTGAAACACACACACACACACACACACACACACACACAATCCAAACTCCACCCAACCTCCTATCATCGACTTAATTCCAACTTCTAGTGGCACTAGATAGGGTTTATGAGACTGTAAATCTTTACAAGAGTAGACAGACTCGTATTTCTTCCACCGAGTGGTTGGTGGGTTTGAACAGCCAACCTTTCAGTCAATTGCTTTTTATTTGTTCTTCTAGTTCTACCTAACTGCAGTGTCTTTTCCTAAAACAAGAGCAAGTTTCCCTCTAGGAGGGTCCTCACCCTTAGACAGCCGTGGAAACCCAGCTTTAATGCCCCTCGTTTGAGACAACAAAGAAGCAATCTGGGCAGTGGCACCAAATCTCTTCTCCCTGGGGGTAAAATACCTCCACAAATAGGTGTCTAGGTAGGTGTCTATGGAAGTGCTCAGCCTACAGAAGAGCGCTTTGCAAACCACCCCCAGTGGAAATGAATGGAGAGGGCTGTCCCACACAGAGTGGCAAGCATGCGGCTGATCTTACGTACCCCCACTTTGAACCTCTTCATCCTTCTCTCCTGCAGTTGAGGAATGAGCTGCAGCAGCGGGTGCACGACAGACGACGACTGAGAGGACACAAGCACACAGGTGAGGAGCACGTGGCTTCTCGGCTTTGGGCATAAAGACCTGTTTCCCGTTTGTTTGTTTTGGTTTTCCCCACTCTCCTTGCTCCACACACAAGAAGAAGGGTGGTATCTAAGACACCCATCTGCGAATAAACCCTTTTAAAAACAGCCCAAGAGGAAACAAAAACAACCCTCCACCAGCGAGTGGATTCCAACTCAAATCAACCCAAAGAAGGCTTCCTAGCAGCCTTGTCTTTGTCCCACAAAGCAGCTGGCGGGCTATGTATCCCGACCGTACAGTTAGCCGCAGCCCAATGTGACCCGGGACACCACCCTTGACGTGCTAGGGTCTTGGTCTTATGTTGAAGGCGTACTCTTAGGGGCCCGCAGCTCTCCTGCTGGCAGCCAGTGAGTCAAACACTTCGTTGCATCTTTGAGAGACAAGCTTCTGGACTTTAAAGACTCGGGGCTGATGAAACTGTGTCCCCAAACCTGTCTTTTATTGGGAAATTGAGCCCAGTGGCACAGCGAGTCACGCATTGGATTGCTAACTGCAAGGCCAACAGGTTGAAGCCACGAGGTACGCTAGGGGCGGACAACGAGGCTTTCTCCTCCCACAGGGAGCGAGCAGCTCCGAACCCCGTCTTACAAGGCGGCTATGAGTTCGAGTTGACTCGATGGGAGCGAATGAGATTGTCTGCATACACGTAGTCATCTCCACGATAAATCGTTTGAATTGACATGGGGGAAGCAAGAGAACCCCGAATAGAACACAACTCCCTGCCACTGAGTCAATTCTGACTCATGGAGAAGCTTATCAAAGCAAAGAAACCTCATGGCCATGGAGTCGGACCGACCGATAGCAACCCAGAGGACATAAATTATGTGTAATGGTGAAAAAATGTTACGAAGCTACCTATTATTTTTTTTCAAATGAAAAGATGCCAAGCTGAAGAAAATGAAAACACATTTGAGACATGTAGCTACCTGAGAATGTTTCATTTTAAAAGCATGGCTTGAATCGAGCCTTCTCACTGGTATTAAATTTGTTTATCGAATGAATTACTTGAAGTCCTATGTAATGGCTGTATGTTAACGGATTCAATTTACATTTGGTTTAAAGCCAGTGTAGTCTAACTGGCAACTCCTCATATGTACGATTATGACATGTGATGAGCATTTAAAACAGTTTACAGTTCATTTACCGTTGCATGCCTTTTGGTCACACATATTTAAAATACACCATTCTCTTCAGTTCCTGTCCTGGTTTATGGTGGTGAGTATTAAAATCTTACTAAAAATGTAAAATCTTCGAAGAATACTACAGTCAAAGAATAAGTATTCAGGGTGACACACTGAAATGAGCTGGCAGGCATTTTTTAAATGCAGATATGTAAAGGGAAAACTACCACTGAAAACACAATTTAGAAGTGAATCCACTCACTGCCATCTCATCCATGCCAATTCATAGCGATGTTAGAGGGCGGATTAGAATTGCCCGGTGGGCTTCTGAGATTTAACTCTTTACAGGAGTAGAAAGCCTCATCTTTCCTGACCCCCGGACGGGGCTAGTGGTTTGGAACTGCTGACTTTGCAGTTAGCAGGTCGATGTGTAACCACTGTGCCACCACAGAAGTGAACCGAATTATAGTTACTGGGTTCTGATTAATCTTAAAATTCTAAATTATCGCATTAAATTCTTAACTACTTACTCGTAAATTGACATTGGATTAGAAGATAATTTTTTTCTAGTTATATTTAATTGTTTTTTATAATCATCCTTTAAAATAATGATTAAAACATCTTTGGATCAAACTATTCTTTGCTTGTATTAATCACCATTTGAAATATATTATAAATGTTTTACTTATTTATTTGATTGTGGGGAGGCTCTAGAATTTAAACATTATGAGAGTAGGAATTTCACTTTTTAATATTCTTGTTTTATTTTTGGCCATAATTATAGTACCTTAAATTATATCTGGCAGATACTTAGTAAGTAATTGTTGAATGAATGGATGAGTACATTTAATGTCCATGTAATCATTGACATGGAATAAATTAATATATTATAAATTTTCAATTCTATTTGTTCATTCACATAAACATTCTGCATTTGAAAAAAGCATGGCTTATGATCTAGTGTTATTAGATAAACTACAAAAACAGGTATTAAAAAAAAGATAGCGGAAAAAAAATAGATAGCGATTACTCATAGTAATTTTACAACTTACCACAACATTTGAATTGCCCAACTTCTGTGTCTTTGAATAATGAAATAAGAACTGTTAAAGAAAGAAAGAAAGAGTGATGCTCAATCTAGAAGAAAGTGGTTTCCTTGATCATTTTGACGTGTGTGTTAAAGAAAACAACCTTACCCTTTTGGTGTTATCTTTTTCATAGGGTTCCTATTGAAAAGAGAGAGATACATATAACTTTTAAAACCACATCACATATGGTATCTAAATATCACATAAACTATGGGACTGAAATTGGTTAAACATAGCATGAGAAATTTAATATTGCTAAGTGAATAATTAGAGACATAGACAAAGCTCTTTATTGTATTATTATTCTCAAGAGTAAAAAATAAGAAACATCCTAAATGTTCAACAGAGGTGCAAAGGGAAAGAATGCTATAACCACCTGATGGAGTGGTTAGATAGCTAGACTAGATGGAATCACATCAAAATAGCAAATCACTATTATCACGAAATGATAAGCTTGTGAGTAATTTTAACTTTCTCCTATTAATATTCTTTACTCATTTCTCCCCAAATCTCTGTAATAAAAAGCATCTGGATCTGTTTTTCCCTTTTTCTTTTTAGTTCTTACTTGTTTTTCATGCAAAAGTGAGATCGTGGATAGATGGCATGGTCAATGCACCTAAATTTCATGTTAACTAGGGGGTAAAGTCCATTGGTTTTGAGGTGGGCGTTTCATTATTAAGAAACACTGGAGAATATACTTGTAAATCCCTATATTATTTAGTTTCAGAAACCACTCAAGTTTTTAAATGATCAAGTTTCTTTGAATTATTGTATAGGAAAGGTTTAGAAATCAGAAGGTACATCAATGACCATGAGTACAATTAGAATTGCTAATGACAAAGATCATTCCAAACCTGAGGCTCTTTCTCCTTAATAGGGTAGTTTAAAAATAGTTCCTTTATAATACAGACACCGAATATAAAATAAGGTATGGTGCATGACACTGTTTTCAAGTTTTTATCTATTCTTACTTCAAAACAAAAGATTCTTCAAAGTATCAAATAATTATTTTAAGAAACCAGGACACTGCACACGAGTGCTCTCAAAACGATTCTAACTCATAGCAACCCTGCCGGACAGAGTAGAACTGCCACCCATGGTTCTGGAGGCTGTAAATGTACAGGGAAGCAGGCAGCCTTATCTATCCTCCCATCGAGCAGTTGGTGGATTTGAACTGCTTTCCTTGTAGGTAGTAGCCTAACTTGTAATCCACTATGCCACCAGGGCTCCAAAGACATGAGTAAGTATATGCTTTTCAGATTGGCATGGGCATTGCAGCTTGTTTCCATTTGCATTGCATGCCCTTTTCTCTAACAAAGCACAGCATCTTACTCTTAGAGCCAAATCAAATATGCTTAGCACCTTAGAAAGCTGTATCTGTTCCACAATTATAGTCCAAGTTAAGAGAAAAATAAAGACAGCATGACCCCTTCCCCCATCAGAACTGGAACAGTCTTATAGTTGAAGGGGCATAGAATTTACAAATTAGATGACTGTAAACCCCATTAAAATGACCCTAAATTCTCAATTGTCAGAGGCACTGCTGTTGTCGTTAAGTGCCATCCAGTCGGTTCCGCCCCATAGCAACCCAAAGCACAACAGAATGAGGCACTGCAGTACTTGTTTGTGTATTATACATATCCTCTCCCAGTTTTCTCTTAGTATGTCCCTAAATCACTGAGCAGTTCCTCGCATGTAAACAAAACACTCCTTTAACTGTACCTGAGGCTTTCGAAGCATCCCCATAATCCCCAGGCACAGCTCCTCTAAGGCAGTGGATGCCTAATGGGAAGGAGAAGATAACATGGGCCACGGTTCTGGTTTCACAGCATTTGGGTAGAGAAAATACTACGAACTTTTAGGAGCACAAAGATTCCAACTACTCTGTTGGCTTGCCTTGATTTCCCTCATGACAAGAACTGGCTGCAAAAAGTAACCCTTCCTTTCGACCAGAAACAAAGGCCAGAGACTGTCCACACAGCCTGGTCCAGGCTTCCACTGCCGCTGAGACACATGGTTCTTACTACGCACTAAGCTTTCATGAAATGCTATGACTCAGTAGGCAGAGCAATGCCAAAAGAAATATTATTCTGCCCGGTTTTTAGCAAAGTCTACATCTACATGCCAATGCTGTGAGCCCAGAGAACATTAGTCATTACTGGCTCATTTGAAAAGCATGCAGTTGCTCGCAAACACTGGAGGTTGGTGGAGGAAGAAGCGCTGCATGGTGTGGCTAATCTGTGTACCACCCTTCCAGGCTGCTGACTGCACACCCCAGGATCAGGTTTTTCAAAGCATTTGATTAGGGAAGTAGGGCAGGGCTGCTTGTGGTTAGCAGCCAGCTGGGTGTGGTGAGGAGTAGCACAAATGGACAAGCAGGGGCGAAACCTGCTTTTGCACAGCATTCAGCACAGTAGTACTGGGGACAATTGATTACTGAATAAGGGTATTTGGGAAGTAAGGAGGAGCTGGAGCAGTGAGGGAAGCAACAAGTGGGTGAAGGCATGGGCTAAGGAGCTGGAAATCCTGCACTTATCTAGTAGTACACATTCACTTTCTACTGTTTACCAGCTCTTGCTTAACCTCTCTAGTTAGGTCACCTCTCTAGCTCAGTTTCTTCATCCATAAATCAGAGATGACAGCACCACAGCAGAGAGTTCTTGGAAGGATTAGATGTAGGCAAAGTTCTTAGCAAAGTGCCAGTTACCTAACAATTATTTAACACTCACTCACTCACTCACTCACTCACTCACTCACTCGCTCGCTCACTCACTCATTAACCCACACACTCTCACTTCGAGTTGACCCCAAATCATAGCAGCCCTGTAGGGCAGGGCCCTGTGGGTTTCCAAGACTGTAATTGTTACTGGAGTAGAAAGTCTCGTCTTTCCCCTGAGGATTGACTGGTGATTTCGAACTGCTGACCTGTGGCTAGCAGGCCAAAGGGTAACCACCAGGGCTCTTAAAGTTCACAAGGGGTGATATATCCAGGGTGCAGTACAGCACTGATGAAACATATAAATATCCTCTAGTTCTTTAATATTTCCTGCCCCCACTATTATGGCCTTAGTTTTGCCTCACTAATTTTACTAGACCTGTGCATGTTCACTTGTACAATCAAGATCTTTCGATGCATGAAATCCAAGATAGATAAACCTCTCAGAAACAGTAATGGGAGTAACGATTCTCTGAGGGCACGGGGAGGTGGGGAAGAGGGGAGCGGGAACTGATAGCAATGATGAATGTACAACCCTACTCAAGGGGAATGAGCAACAGAATTGTAGGTGAATGGATACATTGGTTGTAAGATATGGCAATAATAATATATAATATATTAGGGGTCCATGGGGGTGGTAGGGTGGGGGAGGGAAGGGATAAGGGGGAGCTGATATCAAAGAGTTCAAGAGGAAAGAACATGTATTGAAAATGAGAATGATAGCAATTGTACAATTATGCTTGATCTAATGGAACTATGGACTGTAATACTATCTGTTAGAGCGCTTAATAAAATGTTTATATATATATATATGATGTGTAATGCTTGGTTTATGGCTATAATCACTCTTGACTCAGGCTTGTTTGGGGCCATCCATCCAGGATCAGCTACACGTGGTTGGGGGCAGTTCAGAATACAGCTGGAGCCACGAAGCAGTTTCTCAGGGTCTCTGTCTTAGCATCAGAGCCTTGCTTTATAGTTTTCCATTTGTTTGCCTTCCAGGCAAATTTTTGGGGTTGGGATATTGATCAATAACATTAAGTGATGCAGATTTATGGTGTGGTAAGGAGCCTTTGAGACAGCCCCAACTCATAATGATCCTATGCATGAAGTACTGCCTAGTCCTGGGCCCTCCTCCCCATTATTGTCATTGGTGCAGCCACTGTGCCATTCCTCTCTTTTGCTGGACCTCTACTTCATCGAGCATGATGCCTTTTCCAAGGGTCTGCACTCTGCTAATAACAGGTCCAAAGTCCGTGAGAGGAAGTCTCCTTATCCTACATATTTAAGTAGTACTTCAATAAATGACAAACCAAAAAAACAAATACAATGCAAGCCGTAGATGCAACCCATGATGACCCAATAGGGAGAAGCAGAAGTGGTCCCGAGGGTTTCTGAGACTGACTCTTGATGGGAGCACAGTCCTATCTTTCTCCCATGGGAAAGTGGGGTTCGAATTGCTGAGCCTGTGGCTAGCAGCCATTGTGTAAGTAACTATGCCACCAGGGCTCCAGCAATAAATCACACGCACTTTTGTGTACATAATCCCTACTGCCCTTACAGCACAGCTGTGAGAAATATAGGGCAAGATTGTTATTCCTATGTACAGAGGGCACAAGTGAGGCTATAAAAAATTCAGTCACTTGCCCAACACCGCATCGCTAGTCTTGGTAGCCTGTCATCTGAGAACTAGGTCCTCCGATCTGTGGCTATTCAATTGGAAGTGACTGTTTAACCTATGGCGCGAGTTGGATGAGAGAAAAGGCAAAGCATGAATAATGATATATCCTTTCTCACTTTTCCACCCTAAGGAATGGGTACATAGGTCACCCTATTAAAATAATCTGGAAATAAATCCCATCGACCACCTCTTACAACCCATCAAGAAATGCTGTCATGCAAAACATAACAATAAAAAGAAAATATCTAGCAATGTTTGTGGCAAAGATGTGGCTCTCAGCTCAAAGAAGAATCGATTCAGAAAGATGAATTTCTCTTTATAAAACAACTTCTAAGCAGGATGAGGCTTGGATAAAAAGCCAAAAAGGGTTAAAAAGTGAATGCATTTTTTTCCTGCGCCTCTTCACAAGAGACCTTTATTCACTGAGCTCCAACTATTCTTGAAACCTTTTTCTTATATTAAAGATTTACTTTTAAATTTATAGGGCTTTAACTTTTTTACTTTCTATTTGATAAAGAAGGCTTTAAAGCATTGTTCAGATAATTCCATAAATAATAAAACAATATTAAAAGTTCCATGGACTGCCAATAGAATGAACAAGATCTATCTTGGAAGAAGTACAGTCAAATGTTCCTTAGAAGCAAGGGTGGCAAGATCCATATACTTTGGACATGGTATGTAGAGAGATCAGTTCCCAGAGAAGGACATGCTTAGCAAAGTAGAAGGTTGGGGAAAAAGATGAAGACCCTCAACAAGATTGGACTGCCAGTGGCTGCAACAGTGGGCTCAAACATAAGCAACAATTGTGAGGGGCGTGCAAGAATGTGGGGTAGTTGAGAGTTGTAACCCACCCAAGGGTGAGACTATTGCAGTAATAAAAACAACTGTGGCGTGTTCTCGAATTTTAAATAGAATGCCAAAAGCTGGTATGGTGATTAATCGCCATCATCTTATCAGTCAACGTTCTTGAAGGAATTTAAATGCCTTTATAAACGCCATCTCTTTTGATTTTAGTCTTTCTTTATCGTCCAATGCCTCTCTCCTTCTTCCAAGTGGTCATTTTCAGACTGAGGAATGGATTAAGGCAAGGCAAATATATCACACTGCCACACTATGCAAGGCTGCTCCTCCAGATGAGCCAGGATAGCACGTTGGAAGGACTGTGAGAGTGAAAAGCGCCGGGGCACCTTGGTCAGATCTTGTAAGTGTTCATCCCAGTCATGCACTAAGTGATGGCTCTAAAAGGGATAGATCCAGAAGTCTCTGCCAAGCCCTCTCCTCTGTTTCAGGGCACTGGTGGTAAAAAAGTCAAGGCTCTAAAACAAATTGTGCTCTACCTGGTCTCAGAGATAGAGTTGCAGACAGAAGTAGCATCTTCTGGCCAGTACAAGGACGAAACAAGCCTCTTGTTTCCGAGGACAAGAGCTGACCTAACATCTTGACCTGTCTCCCCAGCTCCCTGTGAACGTTTCCCTACAGAAAGAGCAGTGATTTTTCTGATAGGTGACCTGGGAGGGGAGATTGGACATGCCCAAGTCAGTCCTTTCCTCTTTAGGAGGCAGCTGTCTGGTCTGCAGTTTTTGTCTGATCTCTGTCGTGTGGCAGAGAACATGATTCTCACTTGGAGGCCCAATGTCACGGTCTGACTCTTACAGGAAAGTGAAATTCTGGGGTTACTTTTAACAAATACACCTGGCTTTAAATCTAAAGCCATAATGACCAACTGACTTTTCAGTTGTACTGATGATACTTTAATAATCTCTGTCACTGCCTCTTAAATATCTTCTTGCTCTATGCATTTCAGACTCATTTGGATAACAAGTATATTAGCCATAAACAATAGCAAAATATATGTTATTTTTAACCTAACAGACAGTTTAATTTTAAAATTAACATTTTAATTTGACATTGCACAATTTCCAAAATATGCAGATATTATCTGCAAATCTACTTTATTTTGAAATAAAAGCTTACGACATA